ATTCCTGCTCCTGCCCTTGCAAGACAGAACATCAACTCTGTGCACATTTGGGAGCAGGGGAAGGAGTGAGCAGCAAATTTAAGATGACCTCCCTTTGGTAAACCAAATTGTTTCTACTTCCTAATTCAGTTTTGCAGTGGTAACACCTCTAAAGCTAGATTCAAAATCAAGTTTTTAGCAGGAATTCATGCAGGAGTTGATTACAAAAAGTAGATACACAGAGGGATCTGGGCTACCAAGTAAACATCTGTGCACTCACCCACCTTCCAGGAGAGAGGAACCTGGAAAGAGTCTCCTAGTGTAATAGAGATTGATGACAAACCAGATCTGGGGCCCGCCATGAGGTTAGGTCAAAGCTCCTTCAATACATATTGACCAAAATTAATAAGAAAACTTAAATATCAAAAGGTCCTTCACCCTCACAATCATTCTTTTAGGTGGGACCAGAAGGTCACACCCCTCTGTGTTTGGTTTGACCTTTGCAAAGCTCACTATACTGTGTGAGAATAGGCCACTGGCTACAGTTGATTTCAAATTTAGTTCAATTGATCTCTGCTTTCAAAGTGCTGAGCTTTGTACATAAATCCTAGAGTGAACTCTTAGCCTTGGAAAGCATCAGAACCATCTCATTTTCTTTGAAAATGCTAAGTGAATTTTAGAAGCCAGGAGGGTCAGTACACAGCCCCAGAAGGGGGAAAGGCTACTGCTCCTGAAGCACCTCTGAGAAAGGTTTTAAGATGAGACCTCCACAGAGCCAGAAAAAAAGAAACCTGAATAAATTAGTTGCCCACTTTGTAAAGTTTAGGCACATGAAACCATAGAGGAAGTAAAAAGACAGGATTGGGGACCAAAGAATTAATCTGTTGCTGCAGAGAGGGAGCAGATGGAGCAAGTCCACAACAAAGAGTGTGAGTTATTTACTGGCACGTTCCTGAAGTGTGAGCACTCCAAGTACAGGAAAATACAGGGGCACAGAGTTCATGTGCATTCACACAACAGAACTGAGTTTGGAAAGAGCAGGAAAATTCATATTCTGAGTGAAAAGCAAGGTGATGAATCACCCAGACTATTTAGGAGGTGGTTGGAGGCCAACAGATCAAAACAGGAACAGATTAGATGGCAAGGTGTTAGCTCAGCAGCCCTTAGACTTCAAAAACCTCAGAGCAACAAGCCCAGACAATAAGTGAAGGGGGGCACCACAGAGCTTTGCACTTTATATCCACCCCCATTTTGCTTTTTCATTAGTTGTGTTCTCAAACAGATTCACATGGCTACTAAAACACAGCCTGGGGTCACTGCACTAGGAATGGATGGTCCAATCTTAGCCATGCCTCAGAGCAACCTGAAAATCAAGCCTAGCTCAGAATCAGGGGGTAACACTGCTTTCTTCATTTGTCTGTTAGCTCAGTTCAGGATGATAAGTTAAAAAAAGGGAGAGAGAAATCAAAGGTTAAAATGGGAGCTTACTCCATCATGCTGCTGGCAAGGGTTAGGGTTGGGCTGGCCACTACATGAGTGACAGACACTCTGTTAACCTGTTTCCCTTCCCAAAGGAAAAGAGAAAGGGAATAATGGAGAGAGAGTTACAGATTAGAAAAGAAAAGTAAACCAGCTTTAGTAAAAACAATAAATTGAAATATATACAAATCTATTAAAAACACAATATTGAACCCAAGATGCCTGAGGCATTTCCATCACCATTACCACTGATGCCATGGAGCAGGCACTGGGCAAGTCCCAGACTGGACTCAGCAGATTCAGGAGCTGGATTCAAGAACACAGACTGTGAACAGACAGGGTCCTCCATGGACACCAGGCACTGAAGAAGACCCTTAACACTCCTCATCCCTCAGCTTTACACTGAACATGATGTATA